ACTTTTACAAAGACTTAAATTCATCTTTTCTTCCTAAAAAGAATGCATAAACAAATTGAAAAAGAGGGTTAAAATTTTTGAGGTTCACCCATTCCATTATGAAGGCTCCACCATTTTGATCTCTTGATGAAAAGCGACAAATTGAAGATACAAATTTAAAACATGGGGAGCAAAAGAACTTAAAAGTGAGTGGCCGAATCTTAGATGATTTTGTATTTTGACTTGAATTCTTGGCTTGGCTTGTTTTTTTGAAAATTTCAACCCAGAGCTCACTTTCTTTAAGTAAACCCTATGGTGCTGCTTCTCGTTAATTTTCTCATTTGCTCACATAATTTCATTCTTAGTAGGGCCTGCATTGACTTGGTCTATGAGACTACTTGGCACTAGCTTGCACCAAAGAAAAATTATGAAATCTTAACAATCGTATTATTATGAGATTAAAAAAATAAAATTATTATACTATCTATCAATATTAAATTTTATTATTTTATTTTGATTTTCATTAAATTTTGTTATTACACCTTTTCGACATAAAAATAATAAAATTGATGAAAATTTATCATTTATGCTAAATACAATATACCATGAAATTTTTAATATCAATTTTTTGTCCAAAAATTAACAAAATCGACAGTGACAAAATATGTCATTTTCATTAATATAATATCCTATTATATATTTCAATTTTATTATTTTTATTCATAAAATCAATAAAATCAAAGCGTAGTGATGAAATTCAATATTAAATCATAATATATGTAGCAAATTTCATCTTATATAATCCCTATTATTATCATTATTATTATTAGAATTGTTTTTATATAACTATTCTAATAAGAATATATATCCTTAATGTGCTTGCATGTCTTTAATCTAGTCTTTATCAAATTGACAATAAGAATTGGTGGGTCTAGAATCCTTAACTTCCTTTCAGCTAGCTTGCCGACATTGCAACGTAGACTTTGATATTAAGCAAAAATATTGGTCCTGTGTACTTTGAATGCTCCTTTTCACACGGACGCCGTAGAAGAGGAAAGAAAATCAGAAAGATTGATCTGCCATGCCATATTTTTCTAAATTTATGTTGACTTTTCTAAGATATTTTCCTTCAAATAACACTTCTTAAAAGAGCCCAAAAGGTGTAAAAACTCTGAGCTGTTTGTGGTTTTTTTTTTTGGGCTAGTTGGCCAACAAGACCGGACCTGCAATTTGAGCTATAATTTGGACTCTTCCCTTTATTTTATTGCATGGTGGTATGTCTGTGGCTGGATAATCAGAGATTACTACTCTTGGTTCATTAGATTTTTAGGGCAACACTGTTGAAAGCTTTAGAAACACACGAGAGCTAGAAACAGTCGATAAACAACAGGCAACGAAGAAAAACAAAATAAAACAGTACTAGTCCTAGTACAATGTTGTTCAGTCACTTTTCGACCTAAATTTACCTGAACTCGAAAATGTGAAAAATTCATGCCATCAATGATAGATTGGCCCATCTATCAGTTTGTTTAATGTTACAGGATTGCATGTCCCACCCGATTAGTAAAACAACATCAAAGAGGCAAAATCTTTCGACATATAACTAAATGGTATGATTAGGTTTAACGCGACAACTTCATCGGAAAACTTGCTGATTAAGTTAAGATTCTTTTTTCTGATTGAGATATATTTTAATTGATAATCACATCTTTCAATAATAAAGGATTTTTAGTATATTTATTACTTTTTGTTAATTACAATAATCGTTGACTGGCTGCTTTATACCAATTTCTATAACCGTGGTTTTTGAATGAAAGTTGCAAAAAGATTTCTTTTTTTTTTTTTCCTTTAAATTCATGAGGTAATCGATTCTCAAAATTTAGTGATTCTTTGTTCAGTTGATGTTGAAGAACCAAATCTAACTTTTGGGACATTGTAGTCTTGTAGAGTCATTGTCTTATGAAATCTGATATTACCAGGCCGGGATAATGTTGTCGGTTGTTTTTCTCCTATCATATGTCTTAATTATTTCAACCTTTTACGTGATGAAGAGACATTCCTACAGCTTGTACGATCTGCAGTACTAAATCGATTTGGATCAAACTTTGTATATAAAATTTTGAATCAGATTCAATTGGGATTGAAATATTAAATTATTAATAAAAGATATTTTTTAAATATTAAAACGTTAATATGTTAATATATATTTTTAAAAATTTTGTATCCAATGGAACAAGCCTTGAATAGAACATTTTTAAAAAAAAGTCAAGTTCATGAACATCTCAATCGACGAGTCTTTTTCTGCTATAAGTTTACCTTTTTTTGTTCGACTTTCTAGCTTTTTTCACATTTAGGAGGCAAGCGCAGTTTGACCTACGCAGCAAATTTCATTGCCGACTTACGTTCAAACAAAATCTATATTTCTTTTTAACTTCATGAGTTGTAGAAAAATCCTCTTCCCTTTAATTTGTTATAATAGTGTTAGCTGAAGAAAATAAATGGGATGAGGTTGGGCTAAACGAAAATGGCATAAGATCAATGGAAGCTTTTTTTTGTTGATGGATAGATTGGTTGAAGCTATTGATTATATTATTTATATATTGATTAATGCAAGTTTTCTTTTTTTTTTTTTTTTTTGTACAAAGTGAACCTTAGCTTAGGTTAAAGAAAAATGCTGTAAATGTTGAAATTTCAATATCAAATTTATTAAATATCATTTTTAAAAAATATTTATATGAATCAGTTAAATTAAAATTTGAATTTATGTTTTCTTATATGTAAAAAGAGTTAATTACTATTTCCTCATGCTTATAAAATGTTTTAATTACTAATGCATTATTTTTATGAGACTTGCAAAATTGGGACCCAAGGATGAAGTAATTTATATATATCTTGATTAGTGATAGTCTCCTCTATAAGCAATAAGTTCATTCAAACGGCAAACGACCCATGTGATCCCATGGAAGGAAATACCTCCAAAAGCATTACAAATTTATCTCTTTCGGGGTTAAACATTTGTGATCGAGACTTCTTTCCATGACTTTCGCCACAAATTTTGCCTTTTTCTCTAGGTAAAGAATGGTTATGATTGGTCATATTACTCACAAAATGTAATAGACAGAGGTTTTAGTGATACCGCTAGCAGTATGATGATGACTAATGAGCGGGTTAAGATTAATTAATTATGAGAATTTTATCAAATAAATTCAGTGATCAAAATGTCTTAAAAACATGAAACTTTTTTTTTTCTCCCACTTTATTTACATTATCATAACATTCGTTAGCTACTTATGACAGTCATATAAATCGGAAGATATATACTGTAATAAGCAAACATCGTCAGGTATGCAAGCCTGGTTGGATTTCAAAAGTGTAACTGGCGTCGATAGCAAAAATGCCCGCACCGTATATATACTCCCACGACTTTTTTTTTTTTTGTTCTAAGCCAAAATGCATTAAAGCAACCATGAGGGAGGGTACAAAACTAGTCAAGACTACCAAAGATAAAATTCAAAGCAATAGTATCAATACAAATCCATTTGAGTATAAAAAATCACCTAAATGTAAATAAAAAAATAAAGCACTCTACCAACTAGCAAGAATACTCCCACGACTCGTTAATGGTGTATAAGATTGCTTTGTGTAAGCAAATCACTACTTACGTAGTATCCATGGATTGAATTAGAATTGGATCTAGACATGCATTGTATCAAGATTTTACATGTTTGCTGAAGTTTGATTCGATGTAATAATTTAAATCTCAAATTTTGTTTAAAACCATCTAGATTAATCAATGGTGCTGTTAAATTAGGCCAAATTAAAAAAAAATGATTTTTTTATTTAAAATTTAGTATTTTACTTATTAAATTTTTAAACATAGATAACTTAAAATAATTTTTAATATATACACTATAATATTATATATTTATCTTTTATATAATATAAATTATAATATATATATATAAATAATATATTTTAAATAATTTAAAACCAAATCAGCCTTAAATATGGTTGGAGTCAAAACTTGACCTATTTTTAAACATGTCTCGTAAATAAAGAGTATATATTGTTGATCTACTATCTATCTATCTATCTATCTATATATATATATATATATATATATATCTATCTATATATATATATTAGTTAGTAGTTAGGCCTCACCCGTAATTAACAAACATTTTACCAACTGTACTAACGCTGCATTATACCAACAAAACAAGAAGCCTGGGTTGAAGTTGCAAAATAACGGAGCTTGCTTATCTTACATCTACCACATCATTATGAAAACATTCAGAAGAAAAAAAAATGTGTGTTTGTAAAACAGTTTATACCGTTAACAGGATAAAGCATCTTATTTCCAACCTTGGGTCCTTTTTCTTACCGAAAGTTGTAGGGCTTCCAGCTTCAAAATCCGTGTCTCATGACAAGTTTTCAGCAGTAGCTTAAGTATTAAGAAATACTAGTATATATCAAGTTTAGATCGCTGATATTAAGTATGTATATCCTAGTTTAGTTTCTTCATGCAAAGCACTAAGGTGATCGAAATTAATACTTAAAAATTTGCCAAATTAATAGGTCTGTAAAAGGAGCAATAGGTGAAAGAAAATCAGAGAAAAGGTGAAACTCTAATTCTGAGGATGAGAAGCTGTCGTACGAGAAAATTGATTCCACCTGGGGAGCGAGCTGATCAGAACACTTGCATTATTGGAAACTACTGGGGAAAAACAAAAGAATAACAAGGACTGTTGGTTTAATTACCCCAAGCAGGCTTAAGAGCAGCGACAGCTCTGAAATATATAACCCACAAGATAGCAACAGATAAAAGCACTAAACTCTTTTATGGCTAGATTTAAAACAGATAAAAGCACTTAACACTTTTATGGCTAGTTTTAAACGTTCTCACAGCAAATTGATTCCAAGCCAAACTAATCAGCTGCAAAACACCTGCAGCCATGGGGCATCTAACCCCTCAAAGAGATCAAAAACAGAAGGGCAGGAGAAAAGAGAAGGAGAAGAAAGAAAAAAGACTGTCTCCTGTCTTCATATTACTGATCATAATCTAGTTTTCAATCGCATGCTTATACATTTCTTTGTACCTTGTAATATCACTTTAATAGTAAATTTTGAGTCTCATTTGTAAGTCCATAGGCTTTCTACATCTGAATTCTCGGGTGAATCATCAGAGGGTGGTGAGTTTATCCAGCTGGGAGGGCTTACAAGCATTCCTCCTGCCATATCCACCATCAAATTGGGAAAGTTTAGAAGCTCTTCCTCATCTATAAATTCCTGACCGGAACCAGACTCCATGCAAGTACTTGACGGGGTACCCTCATTTTCAGGCTTCGCCTGGTCCTCTTTTGAGTTTTTTGAAGATCCTGTATCAGGCTTGGGTAGCCTGGAAGCGGCCGCACTAGCAGCTGCAGCCCGAATATCGCATGCGGAGGTTGAAGCCACTTTTGGATACGAAAGAATCATATCCGGAAAGTTTAGATCCGTGTCGGGACCTTTTAGGGCAATAGCGGCCACATCATACGCGGTAGCTGCCATTTCAGGGGTCGGATACGTTCCAAGCCATATACGCGTCGTTTTACGCGGCTCGCGTATTTCAGATACCCATTTGCCGCTCCTGCTTCGTATTCCCCGATAAGGCGGATGCCTTCCGGAGCCAGGGAGACCCGACGATGAATACTTTCCAGGAGATTGAACATGCCTTGGTTTTGGCGTCGGCGTCGGGATGCCTGGTACGCTGCTAGGTTTTGGAGATTTTGGCGATTGGTCTTGTGGCTGATGGCTCAAAGTCATCCTGGCTGGAGATTGAACAGGTCTCGCTAATGGGTCTTGTGGGTTGGCAGAGGCAGACAGGTCTTGCTGTTGCTGCACGAGAGAGACTGAAGGGTCAGGGATTTGGACAGTTGGGGTGGGTGATGGCTGATCCTTTGGGGGAAAATTCGTTGAATGATTGGCCATATTTGTCTATATATATGAAAGCAATCACGCATATGCGCTAGAAGGGTTTAAGACTAAATTGTTTTGGATGCTGTTGGGTTCGATTTATAAGGAGAAATAAACCAATACTGAAAGGCGTGGGGAATTCGCGGAACCCTTTTGACAAAACCAAACACTTTTCTATGACAATACCATTGGTGATGTGGTGGTAAGATACAGGCTACACAGCGCACACGTATTGGACTCAAAAACTTAAAACTGGATTAGCTGTAACTTACCTGTTTCTCCACGCCCTCTCTTTCTATATCTAATATCCATTATCCAATATGCTCCTACTCCTATACCATCTATCTTTCTATGTCTTTCAATTCTTTCAATTAGAACTTTCTTTTCACAACTCTCATGGTTGGTGATCATAAATTTAGGTCATGCTTACCACTCACTGAATTGTATGCCTTTTCCCCCTTCATTTATTTTTTAAAGGTTAGGTTGTGCCTTTCAGTAAAAGATCCCAGCGAGTGCGACTTATATGATCATCATATATATACACATACATCTCTCATGATATTAATTAACAATCATTGCTTTTCTTTTGTCTAATGTCCACATCATTATTTCTCTTTCATTTCGCTACTCATCTACAGAAGCTCTATTTACCCTGTCTTAAGAAATATAAGTAGAGATAAAACTTCTAATTTGTTTTTATCAATTGGCTTTCTCAACTTCCCCTTGTCAGTCTATCTCATGACTAAAAAAATTTTAACTATCTATTTTGGGCCATATTTATTGTCCAGCAAAATATATAAATTTAAGATTTAAATTCAATATATGTAATTTTTTTTCATTATTTTTAAATTACAATCTTTTTTATATAAAAAAAATACAATCTAAATATGAAGTTTGCATTGAAAATGGATATTCCGAATAAAAATTGCTTAAATATTTTAATTAATAACCCATTTAAGTAATTAATAATATTATTTACTAATCACGTTGTCAAAAGAGGTAGTCATACCTACATGTGCCTTCCATTTTGAGCATGTACTTGATGAGTCTGGTATGATAGCATTACTTGACTTAATTATTATTGTCGCCCATATTTTTTATGCTTTAATTTTTGAAAGTTGGGTACTATTATTATCGACATACCAAAACTCAGACGAGGGATATATAGCTCCTTTTTCACCACTTCAAACACAGAAAGGCCGGATCAAATAGAGTTAGTTTTATTTTCCCTCTCCCATGTTCTTTGCTGCGACAAAATCATATGCCACTACCTCTATCATTTCTGGTTGAATTTAAAATTTTGAACTACTCCTTTGTGCCTTTGACCCCAAGGTTTACTCATCCCTCTCCTCCCCCAATTTTTCTAGACATGCTAATAACCTTACAGTTGTGGGTTTTCAGGGTTGATTGGTCCCTACCTCTCAGTCTTTTTTCTTTTATTATTATTGAAAAAAGACATCCATCAAACTTTTGCTAGAATTAAAGGCAAAGATAGTCCATCTCCCACGAAAAACTGCAGCTATCAATAAATCTCAGTGCAATTATAGCTTTAGGTTAAAGCTCTGCAATCTGGAGACGATTATATCGATAAGATTGTCCCATTTTTATGTAATATTATATATACTATCAAAGTTGGCCCATCAGTAGTTATTAACCATTGCTTCTTCCATTGTCCATTAAAATCTAAGGTCTCATTATTCAACCCATTGGTAAAGGCAATATCACCAGGTTTTATGCATGCAAAACTTCCGCTTGGTCTATATAGTTACTTAAATTTCATAATAAATTTTAATTGAGATTTTTTTAAAAATTAATTCGATATTATTTGACAAAAAAATTTGCAAAATAAAAATTTTAAGAGAAAATTTTTTTTGGATAGATAAGCTATATGTTCATAAGTATTAGAGGTTTTTATGGAATATGGTATGAAAGAAAGATGTAAATGTAAACACCCACTTTTGGATTTGTTTTCCGTGGGTTTTAGATAAAGTTAATGTAATTAAAAAAATAAATAAATAAAAGTGAAATTTTAGTCTTGGTAAAACTTTAGGATTAAGAGTTTAAATTTTGAAAACAGGATCAGAAAAAAGATTTGATTTTTTTGAACAGGGATAAATAGATTAGAAAATAGGGATTTTGATTTTTAAAATCCTTGTTCCTCGGCCCTATATATACCCTCTAGCAATCAGAGAAGAGGGGGGGAGAGAAAACAAGAGTAATTAGAATCATATTTTTTAGTTGAAGGTTTTTGGGGAAATTCGTAGTTTTAAGTGAATTTTTGGAAATTTTTCTAAGTTTTTTGAAAACTTTTTAGAAATTTTCAGAATCCGATGAATTTTTTCATGAAAATTCAAATTTTTCGATGACTTTTCGGTGAAAAATTCAGTTTTCAACGATAAAACCCAAAAAATCGATGATTTTTTTGACGATACTCAACGAAAAACGATGATCGAAAATCGCCTAGAGTGTGAAACAAAAGAGAAGAGAGAGAGAGAGAGAGAGAGAGAGAGAGAGAGAGATAGAGAGGGAGTAGCATATGAAGGAAAATGGTTAAAAGCAAGGTAGGATCTGCATGTTTTCTTTGGTTCGACCCGACCCGCAGCACCTCTACCCGTTAACCCGGTTCACTTAGCCCTATTTGAGCTGTTGAGCCAAGCCACAAACCAAGCCGTTCTAGCCGCACCTATCTCTGGAGTCACATTCCATTTCAGTTAAGCCGAGCCGCGTTAAGGTTGATTTTTTTTTTTTTTGTCTATTTATTTATTATTACTATTATTTTTTTGAGCTTATTTATTTATTGATTAAATTAGAATTATTTATTTATTTAAGTAAGCATTCTTTAATTTTTTAGTGATTCTCTTAAAATAAAAATTTCAAAAAAAATATTTTTGAGAAAAAATTGAAAGCATTAATTTTTTTAAAAAATAAAGATTCCAAAAAATATATTTTCGAGGAAAAGTTGAAAGTATTAATTTTTTTTAAATAAAAAATTTATAAAAAGTATTTTTGAGGAAAAATTAAAAGTATCAATTTTTCTTGAAAATGAAATTTTTTTAAAAAAGAAGATTTCAAAAAAGTATTTTTGAGGAAAAGTTGAAAGTATCAATTATCTTTGAAAATAAAATTAAAAAGAAAACAATTTTAAGGAAAAGTTGAAAGTATCAATTTTTCTTGAAATAAAATTTTCAAAAAAATATTTTTGAAAAAATGTTGAAAGTATCAATTTTTTTTTAAAATAAAAATTTCAAAATGCTTTTAAAGAAAGGTTAAAAGCATCAATTTTCCTTGTATAAAGGTATAAATTTTTTTAAATAAAATAAAACAAAATAACGAAAGAGATCTCTATCAAAGGTTGAAGTATTTTTTTTTGTTTTTCTCTTTTCTTTTCTTGAAATTTTTTTAATATTAAATAATCTGATGATAGAGACTCTGGAAGAAAAATAATAGTTTTTTTGTATACTCTTGAGGTGAAAATTTTTTTTTAATTTTTTATCAAAAGTATTAGAGTCAATTAAGAGTAATTTTTAATAATTAATTATTTAGTAAAATTTTTAAGGCTAAATGGATAACATTAAATCGAGCTGGTTCCATCTTTTGATAGGCGTTGTGGGGGTGCTATAACCTTTTTTACACGTAACCGTACTCTCGAACCTAGTTCTAATTTTACAAATATTAAATTTACTTTTTAAAAATACCTAAAACAAGCTTAAGGTTTCTCTTAAAAAGGGACAGATTAAGTTAAGTGGCCAATTATACCTAAATAAAAAAAATTGGTGGCGACTCCTCAAGTCAATGTCTGGTGATAGATCTACAGATCTAGATGTTATGATAGTTTGGCGACTCCAGTGGAGATATGCCGAGAGTCAAGCCAGCAAATAAATTTGTATTATCCAAAAGCCTAATAAAATTAATTTTTTTAAAAAAAGATTTTTGTTTAGTTATTTATTTATTATGTCATTCATATGCATGTGCATAATATAAGCTTTATACATGAGCTCTGTCCCTTTAGGAGAATGAAATACCTATACTTTCGTGAGGTTTTAATGCCTCCGTAGTAGCTAGCAAAATATTTTCACTCAAAAATTGAATTTTTTTTGCTTGTAGCCTGTAATGGACGAGGATTGGGATGCTTTACTAGTCTGTGATGGATAATGATGTAAGGAGCAATTTGAAAACCTTTAGATTATCAGCCTTGAACTACATATAGTGAGTATAAAGAACCTAACATGCAGTTAGAGCCTTACCTTCCCTTTTCGTAGAAAAATCCAACAGCTAAGTTACATTTTTACAATGATTGATTTTTCTTGAGTGGAAATTAACTGTTGTTGTCATGTTGTATAAATTGTCATGATAAGATGCATGTTAGTTGAATTTTTTTTTCTTAAAGCAGGATAACATTAGGCTGTATATATTTTTGGCATTCATTTCGCATGTGTTAACTTGAAATCATAAGATTATTTTTTTTTCATGACATGAGCATGTAGTAATGTAAATATCTTAATTTGTGGTAATCAAAGGTTCAAGAATAGCTCGACCGTCGACAGATTCAAGCCAACTTGCACGTCACTCGTATAACACTCGATCGTAAACAAGGTAAATGGAATAGAAACAAAGTACCCATATGATAGGATTGAAAAAGCTCAAAGAGGAGTTAAAAGGGAAGTTAGCAAAAATGATGAAGATGCTAGAGAAATTAGATAAAGGTAAAACAGTAAAAAAGACCCTAAATTCAAATAAGAAATAAGATATTATGGATCCTCTACACTCTTCAGGGTTTGGCCCAAATAAGGCCAATCTTTTCAAAATATGCAAGCCCTATGGATGTCATTTTTTGGGGCATATCTTGAAATGCCATTTCATAACTACACTAATCTTACCTTTGGGGCAAAGGCATGTGATCTAATTAAGGTCCCTGATTTTGATGATCTTAAAAAGAAAGAGAATTGAAGATAAAAACTTCTAAGGTGATGGAAAACCCAAGCATTCAACAAATGAACATTTTAGAAGAGAGGGTGTGAGCTATCAAAGGAATGGATTATTTTGGCTCTATAGATACAGCTGAACTATGCTTAGTTTCAAATGTGGTCATCC